CTTCCGAGTTTAGATACTTTTTATTTCTTGTTTATTAGAGGTAACTGATGGAAATGGTGTCAGATGATTTAAAAATTTGTTTATCTGAATATTTACCATCTTCAGATCTTAAATTCTTCCTGTTATTCTCTGGAAAGCTTTGGGGTTTTTATTTATAAACTGATAGTTTACATTGCAAAAAAACCTTAACTCACAGTTTCTTAGATTGTAACATTTATAACATTTTCTTTTGCGATCTCAGAAGATGCCCGATTACAGATGCAGTTTTCTTCTTGTTCTTGACACTGTGCACACCTTTTGTGTTTGTTCTTGAAAGTAGTTTTTAGCATTTAATTCTTCGTTAGTTTTTTTTTTGTTAAGGATATCTGTATATGATTTGCCTGTAACTGACATTATAGATATATGAAATGTGAAGTCATTAAAACAGACAGGTGGTACATAAGTACACTTTAATCGTGTAGGCCAAATTGTAGATGAGAGCACTGAGACCTGAGGAGAATAAAATTTGTACAAGATTACAGTTATTAGAGCCAGGACTGAACCTTTGTTGTTTTTTCTCTCTCTTTTTTTTTTTTTTTAAGATTTATTTATTTATTTATACAAGCACTGGGTACAGTCAGAAGTGCTGGAGGGTGAGAGAATTCACCAGAGCCAGGAACAGAACAGGCAGACTGACAAAGTACACTGCTGAGGGGAGCAGCGGGCGTGGCAGGAGAGGTCTGTGCGCCATGTGGGACCCTCGCCCAGCGGCTGGGGATTGAACCGGCGCTGCAGAGGCTGCGGGCAGCTTAACTCAGCGCTCAACTGCTGTGCCACCGGGGAGGCCCTTTCTCTCATTCTTTATCTGCCTGCAGTTGCTTTTTAACTATCTTACTGTGCTTTGCACTCAACTTTTATCTATTTTTTGCTACTGGATGCAAAGCATGCTATTTCTAAAATGCAAATATGACTAATCATCTTTGCATAATTTTTTTCTGGTTAATATCTTCCAGATAATATCTATTAAATCGGTTACGTGTGTCATCTGATTTATTCTTTGAACAGTCCTTTGTGGCTAATTATCCTGGTTTTATAGAGGAGGAAGTTGAGACCAGAAACTAATCCCAGGATTGTCTGGTTTCAAAGTTTATGTGCCTAGCCACTGTATTATACTACTTAAAGTATTCAGGATCCCTGTGCTACAGCTCTTACTTGACATTTCAAACTGTGCATTCCTTGAGAGCAGAGATAATGTCCCAGAGCAAGCAGTTTCCTAATACTCAATGTTGTACTTACTAAATGTTGAATACATCTTAGCAGTAAGTGAACAGTACAGGATAGTTGGAATAGCCTATTATGGAATAACATGAATATTATGTCTGAAGGGAAGGATCTTCTGATTCACTTTGCTCATAAAAGGTCAGTCTTGGGTTAAAGTAAAACAGTAAATGGAAATAGAGAAATAAAATCAAGAGAAAGGAATAAAGGTAGTGATTATTCTTGAACGAATTATATTTGGGGTTGCAAATGCCCAAAAGTAGATGACTGGATCAAGAAGATGTGGCATATATACATGATAGAGTATTATTCAGCAATCCAAAAAGATAAACTCATGCCGTTCACAGCAACACGCATGAAACTAGAAGGAATTATGCTCAGTGAAATTAGCTAGAAGGAAAAAGAAAAATAGATGGTTTCACTTATAGCAGGAATATAGGGAAACCAAATAAGACAGTGTAAAAAAATAATAACAGTACAAAACACAACAAAGCAAAAAAGACAATTATAAATCAGACATATTGCAGGGGAGAAGGAGGGAGAGGGATCAAAGGGAGGGAGGAGCACAGGGGACTGAGGTGATGGTACACGAGTGCATTGGTGATGGAAACTATAGGGACTACACCTGAGGGGGTGGGAGAAGCAAATATTGTTTAAAAATGAACAGTGATGTAAAAAATAAAATTCATATAAAAAAATAAAGCTACCACCAGGAAAAAAGAATAAGTAAAAAGAAAAAAATTATATTTGGGGTTGTAAGAACAAATAAATTCTCTAATTTTTGTGTTCAGGCCTTGCGGAGTTTCAAAGAGATGTTGGAAGGTTAGAGACAGGGCAGGTTTACTGCATTTTTTCAGAAGAGAAGAAGTACGATTATAGCTCTTGATGTGGCTTTCAGTGATAGTCTAGAATAAATTATTTAAAGAGTCACTTGTTTGCAGGAGAAGTAAAGCCACTGATCATTAAGAAGTAGCCTGGATTCATTGAGAACACACTAGAATAGCCTAACTTTAATTTTTTTGAATGAAGTCTGCTATATTCCATGGATTGCATGAGCCATAAGGCTTACTCATCACATTTACAGATGGTACGGAGATGGGAGGGATGGTTTATTAACCAGTGTGGCATAGATTTTGCTGTAGTAATAAATCCCAAATCTCAGTGGCTTAAAAATAGATTTAATTATTGCTTCCGTTACATGTCCATTCTCATGATATGTTTGGCGGTCTCGTCACACCACCAAAGTGGGTGTTAGGTCATTCACATAGTCCATATTATACTATTTTTCCTAAAAATGAAGGCTTCCCGAAAAACATAATTTTTCCTTTATTTCTTATTTTTTTTAAAGAGTTATTTATTTGCTTGTTTATTTGTTTATTTATACAAGCACTGGGTACAGTCAGAAGCGCGGGAGGGTGAGAGAATTCACCAGAGTCAGAGCGGGGAGCAGAGCAGCCAGAAGGACCAAAGTACACACTGCTGAGGGGAGATGTGGGCGGCAGGAGAGGTCTGCGCACCATGTGGGACCCTCCTCTGGTGGCCGGGGAGCAGCTGGGGATCGAACCAGTGCTGCAGAGGCCGCGGGCAGCTTTGCAACCCAGTGCTCAACTGCTGCGCCACCGGGGAGACCCCAATTTTTCCTCTACTTCAGAATTAACAGAAAGAAACTTCTTTTCCTTTTTTTTTTTTTAAGCCTGCGCTTTTTTTTTTTTTTAAAGATTTGTTTATTTATACAAGCACTGGGTACAGTCAGCAGCGCGGGAGGGTGAGAGAATTCATCAGAGCCAGAGCGGGGAGCAGAGCAGCCAGAAGGACCAAAGTACACACTGCTGAGGGGAGAAGCGGGCGGCAGGAGAGGTCTGCGCGCCATGCGGGACCCTCCTCCAGTGGCCAGGGAGCAGCCAGGGATCGAACCGGCGCCGCAGAGACTGCGGGCAGCTTCTCAACCCAGCGCTCAACCGCTGCGCCACCAGGGAGGCCCTTCTTTTCCTTTTTTTTACCAAATGTAATTAAAAGTTGAGTGTGGGGCCTCCCTGGTGGTACAAGGGGTTAAGCACCACACTGTGAAGCAATCCACAGCCTCTGCAGCACAAGTTCGATCCCCAGCCTGCCAGGGAGCTACCCACATGGCTCAGCAGACCTCTCTCCTGCCTCCCCCGCTGCTCCCCTCAGCAGTGTATTTCAGTCAGTCTGCCTGTTCTGTTCCCCACTCTGTCTCTGTGAATCCTCTCACTTCTCCACACCTCTGGCCTGTACCCCTGCTCTTGTATAAATAAATAAATAAATAAGTGTTTAAAAAAAAAAAAAAATGTTGAGTGTGGAGTAGCTGAAGGGTGATGACTTTGACATTACAAACTGAAAAAAGAAGTTCTGGTAAGTACACCAGAGGGTAAAGCTCGGGTTCCCTCTCTACCCCCTGTTTGTTTTTTTTTTTTTTTTTTTTTTTTTTTTGTTTTTTTTTTTTGAGTAAAGTATCGGTGTTATTGATAAGGAGTCACCCATGAAAGAAATTAGTGTTCATTTAAAAAATGGGCATTACCACAATGTTAAACAAAAACTATACATACAAATGGCAGCAGGGGCTTAGCATATTTTTGGGTTTGGTAGAGCAGTACTTTTTGTATGGTTTCTTCAGATTTAAGGTTCTTACTGCAGTGCTTTATGATAAGAAGAGTAGTGATCTGGTAACCTCCTGGGTCTGCATTCCCGCCTTAATCAGCTCTGGGTCTGTTTGTGTTGTCATCTTTCTATGCGTTCTCATAAATATGCACACACACATATAAAAGGATACTCTCAGATTCACAGTAACATGTATCAAGACTTTGTGGTTCAGTAGACTTGATTCATCATCAAAATGTTCTTACGTATTTCATAGGTTGTGTCTTAACCCCTTGCTCCACCAGGGAGACCCATTATGTGTCTCTTTGGAATCCTCATGATTTTGCCTATAATTTCTGTTTGGATCCAATGTTAATGATGATATGAGGCCCACTTTTTTTTTTTTTTTTTTAAGATTTATTTATTTATACAAGCACTGGGTACAGTCAGAAGCGCAGGAGGGTGAGAGAATTCACCAGAGCGGGGAACAGAACAGGCAGACTGATGAAACACACGGCTGAGGGGAGCAGCAGGTAGCAGGAGAGATCCGCGCGCCATGTGGGACCCTCGCCCAGTAGCTGGGGATCGAACCGGCACTGCAGAGGCTGTGGGCAGCCTCGCAACCCAGCGCTCAACCACTGCACCATTAGGGGAGGCCCAGAGGCCCACTTTTAAAAAATACTATTTTTTTAATTTTTTTACATCGTTCATTTTTGTACGATATTTGATTTTGCCCCCGGAGGTGTAGTTCCCACAATTTTTCCACCACCACGACACCCTTGAACCACCACCACAGCCCTTTGTGCTCTTCCCTTCCCTCTCCTCCCCCCTCCCCTGCTTTAATAACCTCAGATCTGTGGTTTGTGAGGCCCAATTTTGAGCTGCTGTTATGTCTGTAGAATTATTTTCATGTGACTATTAGAGATAATGAGTTTTACATGTTTATAAGCTGCCAGTTTCCTTGTGATGCACAAATAGTGAAAGTGACAAGTTTTGGTGCTGGTTGACAGGATGTGTCTCTGGTACATTGTGTTAGTCATACCGACATGATAATAGTGCTGTGATTCAGATTTAATAATAGTGCAGAGTTTCTGGATAGAGACTTCTTCTACTTTGATTTATACTAAATAATTTTGTAGAGAGGCAGTCTCAGTTCACTAAAGGATGATGTAACTGAACTTGAATTTCCTAAGGGAACTCCAAAATCAGGCTGATGTTGGGGAACTTTTTCAACAGTATAGGAAACTTACAGATAATGACTAACTTGCATAACTATATGAAGAAAATTTTATCCTAATTCATGTGTATGTAATATAGATCTCTCTCCTTCCTGCTTTATGGTCTTATTGATTAGTTCATGCTGCTGTGGTTACTTGGGTCAATGCAGTAGTTCTCTGACCAGTCTGCCCTTTTCTGTTCTTGCTGCATTTCAGTTCCTCTTCTGCATGGAAGCCGTGTACTAGATGCTTTTTGGGGGGAAAAAAAAAAATTATTTATTTATTTATTTATTTTTTTGCATCATAAATTTTATTCCCAGTGCAGTATAGATTCCTTCCATCCCCAAAATGAATCACCAGCTACCCTGGAGAGATCTAGGAGATTCTCTGTCTCCAGGGAAGGAGTGAGAAAGGCAGGTACCAAAGACAGGGAAGTCTTTGCAGTTCCCAAGCCTACTGATCCCCCCACTTCTCAACAAAGGATTAGTTGCTCCCCATTATTAACCCTCTAAACCACTCACCCCTTAAAAAAAAAAAAAAACCCTCACTCTTAAAAAAACAATAACAAAACACACCACCTCAAGTATGCAGGGGAGGGATTCTGGGCTGGGGCATAGGTTAAAGGTCATCAATGGAAGGGGCTGGCGAAGAGGAATCATCACTGTTTCTGCTGCAGGGCCTCCTTCTTGGCCGCATCCTGGAGCAGCTGTGTGTCACCCTCATCTGCGGGCAGCTGCACACAGCGGACCACTGAGCACCCCGGATGAAGCATTTCTTCACTGATAACCCGTGAGGGTATTTCTTAGGGTTTGTGACACTGATGTCAGTTTGATATTGAGATACTGATCCACAGAATGGAGTGTTCCACAGATGCTCTGGTCATTCTTGAGTTCCACCACCACATCCTTGCCCACAAGGGACTTGAAAAAGGAATAGAAGAGCATGGAGCTCACGCCGTGGGCTGCTGGCCGGATGGGGAAGGCGAGAACCGGGTGCCGGAGGCCGGGTGCCCCGAAGTGCTGCCCCGCGAGTGGAGGGGGGTTGGGGGGGGTGTAGGCACTTGAAAATATTTTTAATTATGTTGAAATTTTCAGACACACAGGATAAGATAAAATACAGCTCAATGGGAACCTTATTACTTACCATCAGGAATAAACCTGTTAATACTTTGCTGTATTCACTTTGTGTCCCCTAAAGAGTAAAATTCTTGTCCTTCCCTAGGGAACCACCTTGAAGTTGGCTTATATTATTCAGGTTTTTACACATATGCAAAGCTTTACATATCATATCCATAACCAATATGTGCTATGTTTTTTATGATTTCTAAACTTTCAAATGGTATACTAAATTTGTCTTTTGTAGCATTGGTTTTAAAATTTTATCCATGTCAGCACACTTTCACTATATCTCATACAAATTAACCAGAGTCTATTCACATGACATACTGAATGCGGTTAGGTAGTTACCAACTTTGAACTATAATAATTAATAATGTATACATCAGCTTTTCTTGTGTATCTCCTTACATATATATCAAAGTTTCTCTGAGGTTGATGTGCCAGAAACAGACTTGCTGAATCAGCATACTCACTTTTACAGTGTCGTTTTTATTTTCTCCAGAGTAGTTGTACCAGTTATATTGCCTCTTTACTCTCAAACTTGTTGATAATTGTTTTAGTATGACTTTAATTTTTACAATCTGAAGGCTGTATGGTAGTTTCCTGTTTTATTTATTTTGAAAGATTTATGTATTCATGCATACAAGAACTGGGGTGCAAGTGCCAGGGTGAGGGGGAGGTGAGAGTATTCACCAGTGAGAATGGGGAGTAGAACAGGCAGATATACTGAAAAGCACTGCTGAGGGGAGTAGTGGGCAGAAGCAGGAGAGGTGCTGCACCGTGTGGGTCAGCTCCCTGGCCAGCTGGGGATTGAAGTCAACTTGTGCTGCAGTGGCTGGCGATTGTGCTGCCTTTAACCCCTGCACCACCAGGGAGGCCCCCAGTAGTTTCTTGTTTTAACTTAAATTTCTGAAATTCCTTGTGAGGTTGAATATATGTTCATGTTTTGAACAGTTGGACTTTTTAAATATGAATTTCCCATTTTTGTGTGTTTCCTTTTCTGTGAGTTGTTTCTGGTTTTTGCCTATTTCTGTAGTGGGTTGTTTTTGTTCTCAATGTTTGTCTTTTTTTTTTTTTAACTTTATGTTTTTTTTTGTTTTTTGGGGTATTTTTTAAGATTTAAAAAAAATTATGCACACAAGTACTGGGGGTGTAGGCCAGAGGTGCGGGAGTGGGGGGGTGAGAGAATTCATCAGATAGTGGGGAGCAGAACAGACAGATTACTCTGCTGAGGGAAGCAGCCAGTGAGACAGGAGAGGTCTGTACCATGCGGGTCACCTCCCTGGTGGTTGGGGAATCGAACTCGTGCTGCAGTGTCTGGCCATAACTTGATAGCGCTGTCTTTAACTCCTTGTACCACCAGGGAGGCCCCTGTTTGTTTGTTTTTTTAATATAGAATTTTTTCAATACTTAAATGTGAATTTTTGTCTTAGGAAATTATGGATTTGAAAGGGTGGTGATGTAGCTCTTTCTAACACTTTTATAGTTTGTTTATTCTTATTAAGGTATATTTTAGAGATAAAGTTTACCCTTTTCAGTATACTGTTACTAGTATTCACTAGTGCTTAAACCATTTAATGACCAAAACAATCAAGATATAGAATACTTCCATTACTCCCCAAAGTTTCCTTGTGGCCTCTTTGTGTTCATTACATAGCTCCTAACTTTTACCTATCTCTTTTATCTCTTTAAGATTTTGGCTTTTGCAGTGTCGTGAAAAACAGTCATTCACTATGGTTCCTTTTTTATTACTGAGTTGTATTCTATTATATGGATTTATTGTAGTTAATATACCCATTCTCTAGTTGAGAGATGTTTGGGTTATTTCCAGGTTTTGGAGATTATGGATAAAGTCAGAATAAATATTAATGTACATATTTTTGTGAACAGTTTTTATTTTATTGAGTTAATACCGAGGAGTCGGTGCATACACTAATTGTATGTTTAACTTTATAAACAACTACAAAATGATTAATATTTTGATTTCCCAGCAGCAATATATAAGGATTATAATAGCTCAACGTTCCTCCCAGACTTTGATATTGTCAGTTTTTTTTTTTTTAAAGTCATTCTACCAAAAGTCATTCTACCAATAGTAAATGTGCAATAGTATCTTACTGTTTTTTATTTGCATTTTCCTGATGTTGATGATGATGATTTTTTTTTTTTGGGGGGGGGTGAAGCATCAAACTGTTTACATCTTTTTGCCCATTCTGAAAGTTGGTCTGTCTACTACTGGGTTATAGGAGTTCTTTATTCTGTGTATGAATATTGTCAGATATGCTGATGTACAAATATATTCTCTCAATCTCTTGTCTATATTTGTCTCCTCTTAATCATGGCTTTCAAAGAGCAGTATTCTTTATTTTGATGACAATATTTTAATCTATGGATTTTACTTTTGATACTATCTAAAAATACTTTGCCTACTCAAAGGTCACAAAGATTTACTGCTATATTTTTGACTAGAAGTTTTACACTTTCAGATTGTATGCTTAAGTCTGTGATCCATTTTGAATTAGTTTTTGTGTGTGATGTTAGGTAGAGGTCTGAGCTACTTTTTTTTTTTTTTTTTTTGATTTAAAAAAAAAACAACAAATGAATTATCCAGTTACTCTGGATCATTTTTGGGAAAGATTATTTTCTTCTCTGTTGCTTTTGTCAAAAATTACTTGACTGTATGTTTTGTTCTATTTCTGGACTCATCAGGTCTTTTTTTCCTTGCATCTGCATGTTTATCCTTCTAGTATCATACTGCCTTGATTCCTATAGCTTCCTAGTACTGGGAATCCTCCAGCTTTATTCTTTTTTGTAAAATTATATTGACCCTTAATTACTTTGCCTTTTCATGTGAATTTTTGAATTTGCTTATTCATTTCTGCAAATATTGTGGAACTTGATTGGAATTGCATTAAATGTATAGATGAGGGACAACTGACATCTCAACAATATTGAGTCTTGGGAGCCTACCTTGTGGCCTAGGAGTTATGTCTCAGTGCTATCACTGATACCGCCTAAGTTAGATAGATCCCTGGCCAGTGAGCAAACCTGCATATGACGCAGCAGACCTCTCCTGTCTCTCCCACTGCTCCCCTTAGCACTGTATTTCAGTAAATCCACCTGTACTGTTCCCCGCTCTGTCTCTGGTGATTCTTCTCATCCTCATATCTGCCCCCCCACCCACCGCCGCCGCCGCCGCCCCCTACACCTCTGGCTGACCCCTAGTTCTTCTATGCAATGAATAAATAATTAAAAAAAAAAAACAATATTGAGTCTTCCAGTCCATGAACATGGCTCTTTCTTTATGTCTTCACTTTCCTTCCTCAATATTTTGTAGTTTTTAACGTACAGATTCTGCACATATTTTGTTAAGTTTATATCTTAGTATTTCATTTTCTTGGGTGTCACTGTAAATAATTCTGCTTTTAAATGTTTGATTTCCGGGCCTCCCCGGTGGCGCAGCAGTTGAGCGCTGGGTTGCGAAGCTGCCCGCAGCCTCTGCAGCGCCAGTTCGATCCCCGGCTGCTCCCCGGCCACCAGAGGAGGGTCCCACATGGCGCGCAGACCTCTGCTGCCGCCTTCTGCTCCCCTCAGCAGTGTACTTCGGTCCTTCTGCCTGCTCTGCTCCCCGCTCTGGCTCTGGTGAATTCTCTCACCCTCTCGCGCTTCTGACTGTACCCAGTGCTTGCATAAATAAATAAATAAATAAATAAATAAATAAATAAATCAATCAATCTTTAAAAAAAAAATAAATAAATGTTTGATTTCCACTTCATTTTTAGTACATAATATTTCTTTACTAAATTTACTTACTAGTTCTGGCAGCTTTTTTTTGAGAATCCATGGGATTTCTTATATAGGCTTTTGTGTTCTCTGCTAATACGCAGCTTTATTCCTTTTCTAAATTGTTTATTTCTTTTCATAGCCCCATGGCCAGGACTTACAGTATGAGATTGAATGGGAATGTGACAGGCCTCCTTCCTTTGTTCCCTATAAAAATCAGACAGTTGTTTCCTAGTTTCTTTAAACACACATTTAAGTGTAGTGATCACAGAGCAAATAATTCTATTTAGTTTTGTTTTCCAGGTAACTCTCCAGTTCTTTTGATATCATTCAAGATCTCACAGCATTTCTTGTGATTTCTATGCATCATATGCATGTTTCTTTCCCTCTTGGAAACACATACCCATGAACTCCTATCAAATCATTGATTGCACTGTTTTGCATTTTTCTTTTTAATTTCTCCCTCATTGGAAGGATGCCTGTTTTGAGGAGTACAAGAAATTGTAACTACCTCAAGGATCTTATGTCATGAATAATTGGTATAAGGATGAACTGTATGAAATTGCTCATGTTAATTAACCTACAAAAATCCGTCTAGTTTGGACAAAAACAGAAAAATAAGAAAATTAAAAACTTTTTGCTTATAAGATACAGTTAACAGTATGAGAAATGTTCATGCATGAGAAATTGTTAATCATTGTTGTATGCAAGGGTAAACGACATAGAACCCTTGCCTCTGAAGGAGATTCTTGCCTTGTATATGGTCGCAATTCTTTCAGACTAAAATTATGTTAAAGAACAAAGAAGATCCCTGGGGAAAAAAGTAGTTAACAGTAGTCACATGTGCTTTATGTTTAATCTCTCAATACATGCACAAATTTAGTCTCTTTGAATCTACTTGTGATCCTAGCTTAATGCTTTTCAGCATTTTAAACTGAATCACTATGGTAGTGATTTCTGTAAATAAGTTACTGAGAAGTTTGAAATAACTTGATCATGTGATAATTTTTTGTAAAAATTACCACTTAATTATTTCACTTACTTAGTATCTTATAAGTTGAATAAGCAGTAGTAATTTAGGGCACCAAACTTTTACTTTTGGAATAACTTCATATTTAAAAAAAAAGTGACTTAAGGCAACCACAGTACCAAAAAATAATTTGCATTTCCTTATACTCATTATTTGTGTAGCTTTTTTTCAATTGTAAATTTTATGTGGAGGGTGTACAGTATTTTTGTATTACATGTATTTGTGTAACATTCAGGCTCTTGAGCTGGTATTTACTATCTCCTAAGTCTGGAAAATTTTATGTGAACTTCATGAAGCCAGAAGCTTTCTCATTTTTACTGCTGTTTTTTTTCTACACTGAACACATAGTAACAAATGATTATTGAATAAGTGTTGTGGTGTTAGGCTAGCTTTATTCAGCTAAAGAAAATGTGTTATTTACTTGATTATATAATTTGTAATACAAATAGAAGTTGTTGACTTGCATATTGCTTGATAAGCATCAAGAGTGTCACATTTCTGTTTTATTACCAATGAACTCTTGGTAAATGCTACAGTTAAGAATAGTGTAAAGTAATAGAACTCCCTTACATTCAGTTAATTCAGGAATTTTCTTATGTTTTGAGCTTGATTATTAACATAATACTAAAATAAAAATTAAAGAGCACATGACTTTGGAAAAACTGTCTTTGTATTAATAATAGAATAAGTAAATATTCATAGGGAATTTATTTTCCTTTGTATTTGCTGCCACCAAATGGCAAATTAATAATACTACTGTTACTTTAATATGATAAAAGTCATACTAAAAATAATGCGCTTTTAATATTTTTGACAAGGTTAACAAATTAATAAGTTTGACAAGAGGCAAAATAACAAATTTTGATAATATGTTTAGACCTGTAGCTAGCTTATTTCCCTAGAACAGGTAGAATGAATTCTAACTTCTAATATACTGGAAAGTCATATTAGCACATACGCAATAACCACTATGACAGAGGTGGTTATAAACTGATCTTTCAGACTGAAAGAAAATACGGTTGAAAGCATTCTCTTACACAGTGAATTTAATTCTGATATTTGTTCTTTCAAGGTCGTTGTACGTGAGAACTATGGCTTCAGAATATTTTAGGCCTAATCTTGTTTTTTTGGGTTTTTTTGTTTGTTTTTTTGAAGACCAATCATTTTACTAAAAATAAATGTTGGGATATAATCCCAGAAATATTATTATATAAAAGTAAAGATATAGAAGCAACTCAAATGTTAGATCTTAGGAAATGGCTAACTACAATAATATGATATTTTTCAATGTAATGTTACATAGTCATTGAATGTGCTACAGAGGAATGTTTAATGTTAGTAAAGGACCACCTACTTTGGTTGGATATCATTAGCACATTGTGGAGATTGAGATGGGGAGAAACTAGTTACTATAAATAGTATGTCTGTGTGTGTCTATACAGCCCAAATTTTCAGAATATATTTTTATAGGTAATAAAAATAATTACTATTGTGTATTTTGGGAGATATTATGGTGACATCTTAAGTTAGAATTTCTGAAATGAACATTTTTAATATACAAAAATTATACAAATTGAATTTATACTTTTATAGTTTATTAAATTAACATATCCCCATACAAAAATGTATAGTTGTTTCATTCTGTTACAGTGAATGCATTTGAATAGTTCTTTTTAAAGAAATTTATGAGAATGTCTCTTTAGTAGGATTTCTAAGACTTAAACCCTACTTTTTGAGTATCTTCCAAGAATTCAGTAACAATTGGCTCATATATTAAGAAAATCTTTTGAAAAATCTATCTTGTTACAGATTAGTTAATAGTCTTCATAAAAGGGTAAAGCTTAGATTCTGAATTTCCATGACTTTTAATATTATCTAATAGCTTAATGTTTTGTTGAGGTACTAGTTATATATTACATAGCCCTTCATTTCTATGGTCAGCATATTCTTGCTTTTGATATCTGTTTTCTGCCACAGGCCTGAGATTGGAATTGAAACAATACAACTACTGCTTCCACCAGAGGAAAATAGTATGGGAATTCCTATTATGGTAGGTTTTTTTCCCGTAGTCTCTGCAGTAATGTAGGCAGCTCTTGTCATTGGTTACTTTATTGCTATTATGCCTTCTTATAGCTTAAATTTAGATGTTATACATAATCTAATGTGAATAAATACGTATCAGCCAAAATACCTTTTTAGGCATTTTTGTTAAGTGTAGTAGATCTCACATTTGTGGATAAACATCCTTAAATTTTCAGTGGTGAGAGCTTAAAATTTTAAGTTGTGTTGAAGCTTAGAAAAATGAATAATAGCTGAATATAATGGTACTACTGTTGGTTTTGTTTTATCCTGAAAAACTAATCATTTTGTGTCATTTTTTATCCTATTTGTCAAGGTGAATGCATCCTTGGTCATGCTTACTCTTACATGTTAAACGTTTGTAATAGACTATCTCAATTATGTGAGTAATTCCTACATGTTTGGTGAAAGTAGTTAAAAAAAAAAAAAAAAACTTACCCCGAAGGCACTAGTGAAGACAATTTGAACTAGTTGCGATATCCTTGCCTTTGTTTGGTAGGCCTCCTTGTATTTGTCAGTTTTCAGTATGTTTGAAATTCAAACATATTGAAGGATTCTGTAAAACAGAAGAAACGATAGCCTAATAGCTAGCCTCTTTTCTGTTTCCAAACTGCAACCTGCTGCACTTTCTGATACTTTGATCACAAAGATTCCGTTTGATTTTAAATACAGAGCAAAGTTGTTTCAAAACAAAAGTTGATTATTACTGGGTTTTGTTATGATTTGTTCTTGGTTAAACTCTTTTTAGATAAAATGATTAGAAAGCTGTTATGTTGGAAGTTGAAAATTTTTATCTGTATTCTTGTTATATTGGAATCAATTATTAGGAAAACATTAGGTTGTGTTCTTGAATTGGAATAAATATAACCACAGTAAAGATTGATACTCTCTTTAGATTTTCTGAATTTTATATGAATTAGCCAAGTGTACATCTTTCCCTGGCCTTTTAGGTAATCAAGTTATCACTTTTAAAAAATACATAGGATGTCTCCATGTATCTTTTGGTTGTTAACCTGGAATGTACTTTGCTGACTGGAATTCCATTGAAAATTCACGCCCTTCCCAAACGTACCTTATTTCTGTTCTTTATAAACTGCTGATTTCCAGCTCAGTAAAAGATTTTAGTGAATCTTGAAATACTCCTAATTCTGTACTCTGTCAAGGATTTAGGTAACGGGCTGTTAAGATAGAAAAAGAAAAAAAAAATGTCAAACGAAAGAGTAAGAGTGATATTTGGCTAGGAAATTGTGACAAATAGTAGATACTATCACTGTCACATGGTCTGTTTATTTTTTCTTTCCTGGTATTCTGTGTTTGAGATCATGTAGAGCCACAAATTTAACTAATTTTGCTGTATTGCTATGTAACTTGTAATTGTCATCTTTTACCACTGGGTGGTGCTTTTGCATTAGTTACTTAGGTATTTACATAGGAATAATTTAAAAAATTAATCATAAGGAAAAATGAAGTTATGGTAGTGATAAAGTTGGTTATACAGATAGGTTAAGTTAAAACTAGTGAAACATAACCATTTGTGACATATAATAGCAATTTAATTATAAAAAAAAGATAAATCCTTGTTTGTGAAATAGATAGTAGCTTTACCTTAATGTATTTTTGAATATTTTTTATCCTCCACTTTAGAGCCAGTTTAGGTGGTTTTATTTTGATGTTTTATTTAGGGTATACTGTGATTTAAATGACACTAACAAAAAGTTTCTTAATTTCTAAAGTTAAAAAATACAGATAACTCAGGCTTTAATATTGTCCTTGATAATCATTTTACCTTTTTCTCCTGTCCAGTATCTGTCAAAGTCCTTTCATTGGAGCTTTTTATTTCACAATATAGTATTCATATTATCTTTTTATTAGTTACCAAATAACTCTGGTGGTTATCCAAGTGAATTGAATGAATACTTGGGTCTGTAGAGTTTATTTGGGATTGAAACAAGGTTGTGGAGATTTCAATTCAAGGAAACAGTTATCTCCTAATAAAACATTATTATTATTTTTATTTTAAGAGCAAAATAAGTGCAGACCCTGGAGCATCAGTGTCTCTAAATTCTTTTCAGTAAGATCTTTTTTCTCCAATCTAGTCTATCCTTTCAAGAGCAGAAAAGGAAATGGCAGTTTTTATAAAAAACAAAATTATGTTTCTATATAAACAAAATTACATAAGCCTTATAGTTACTTGTTATTCTTATTTACAGTAAAATGTATTTAAAATTACCCTTTCTTACATTTTTCTCTTTACTATTTGATAGCTTTTGAGGTAGCCCAGTAAAGTCTCAACACCTTGGTCTACATTTGATGCCCAACTACTCTAGGTTATCTGGCTGTGGTTTCTATGGCTTTGGCTTTGCAGGTTAACTTCCTAAAAGCAAGTCTTCACGTGGGCAGTATTCAGGTTTTGGCCCTAACTCCTAACCATCCACTGGAATGTGAACTTGTCATTTAACCCCCGTAAGTTTTATTTTTCTTACCTCTAAAGTAGTGACTGAATTTAGCAAGTAAGAGTCATGACTAAGAAAAAAATAAAATGTGAGCATATGAAGAAGAGAACAAAATTCCCCATAATCCTATAACTGAGCTAACTAATTTGTTGTTGATTTGGGGGAAAAAAATCGTCATTATTTAACATAATTAGAATCACACTATATACAGTGTTGTGTGTCTCATGTAACATTTCTGTGACTATTGTCCCAATTTTTTAGAAATTTGTAAAGGTTGATTTCTGATATTTCATTGTATGATACAGACTATGCCTTAAATTTATTGTTTAATATTTGGGTTGTTTTTAATGTAACAAATAATAAAATCTTGATATGTAAAATTTTGTGGGCTCACATTTTTTCCTTATGTCTACCTTCTGCAAGAACCTAACTGGCTTTGATCTTTGATCCTCATTCTTATCTCTAGAACTACATGCAATTTTGTATCTCTTCAAAATGACAGCACTTCAGATATTTTAAAGCTGTCATTCTCTCTGACTCTGTTCTAGACAAAACATCTTTAGCTTTATTTACAGTTATGACATGGATTTTAGATCCCCCATCATCGTGGCTGTCCTCCTTGAATGTGTTTTAATCTCATTATTCTAGATGTGTTTTGACCCCTGTCTAGTAATTAGCCTTGCTTCTCCTAGGGAGGATTAATAAGAAACGTTTTTGAGATAAAACTGTCATTTTAATTGGTCAAATTTTAGGTATAATTTTTTATATTCATTCTCAAGTATACTTCTTATTTATCCAATGGTGTTTATAAAACATTGACTGCCATTAGCCTGTTTTTTTTTTTTTTTTGAAGGTACTTTTTTTTTTTAAGATTTATTTTTATTTATTTACTTATTTATACAAGCACTGAGTACAGTCAGAAGCGCGGGAGGGTGAGAGAATTCACCAGAGCCAGAGAGGGGAGCAGAGCATCCAGAAGGACCGAAGTACACTGCTGAGGGGAGCAGCGGGCGGCAGGAGAGGTCTACGCGCCATGTGGGACCCTCCTCCAGGTGGCCCGGGAACAGCCGGGGATCAAACCGGCGCTGCAGAGGCTGCGGGCAGCTTCGCAACCCAGCTCTCAACCGCTGTGCCACCGGGGAGGCCCCCATTAGCCTGTTTTAAGATAAATTACTGATTACTGTTCCCCCCCCCCCTTTCAAAAATCTCTGGATTCTTTAAAGTATCATCCAGTCCTACTGTGTTGTGATTAATTCATAATGGTGGGAAAATTAAACTACTGAAATAAAGTGCAAGTTTCCAGTTTTGCTTGGATGCTAAATGATTCTACATGATTTGGGAAATTCCCCACTTGTGTAAACTGACCATGGGACTCCTACTCTGACTGGTAGTGGTTTGTTTAGGAAGGGAAAGTCAGCTTAGATAGCTTCTAGGAAAGACTTCCTTGTACTTAAAAAGGAATGCACAAAAGGCATCCTCTTTACTGTTGCACAACAGTATCTGTCTGATATGAGTGTAGGTAGGTAACTTGTGACTGTGAAGGTCCATGGTGAATCCTAGATGTCCTATTGTTATAGAGCAACCCCGATATTAAAACGGGTTCCTGGCTGTGGGTCCTCACCTGCGCGCTTTAAAGGGACTTATGAAAACTCTACTACACACACACACAAAAGGTTAATAAAAGGTTTATTTACAAGAGAAAAGGAAATAAGGAAAATGTACAACTCAGGGAAAAAATAGGGAAATAAAGTCTTTAATGCGTCCTACCCGATCCGCCGACCTGGAAACCCAAAGTCACTCTCAGAGCTGGCCGGACGCTGCGAGCTGACGAAGAGCCAAAATGGGGGAGCCCCCAAAGCCCACGTTTCTGCCTTTTATATCCACCTGGCTGCTTAACCCCACCCTCAGGTCCCAGCCACCTTCCTTTGGTGATGATGGGATTTGGAGTTCCCAGTGTCTTTGACTTTGACCTAGGGTGGGGGTGGAGTCCACAAAGCCTGTATGGAATTAGCTTTGGGACATCCTTTTCCCCCTAACACTATGTGATAGCATTGAATAGCTGAATCACCCACCTTGGAGTCAGCTTATTTCACTTCTTGTTTATAAGTCTTATTTCTTAAAGTTAGTAGAGTATAACAGTTTAGGATAGCCCTAATATTAAAGAACAAACGTTTCATATTCTGTTGTGCAAAATAGCAGATACTGTGGAAGGTCCATCCCATTAATAGGGAATAAGCCGCATCATTTTAAGATCACTTCAGGATTTTATGGGTCACAGTTTCACAGGTATTGTTACAAAATTGAATGTTCTGATTATAAACAGACAAAAGAGTTTTCTGTGATACAATAACTGATTGCAAGTTTAACTACTCAGTCAAGAATAAACTAAATATCCATTCTGGCAAAATGTCCTTTCCATTCAAAAACAAAGATTGGTTGTCTAAAGGAATTGACATTTTACTCTGAAGTAACTTTGTTATAAGCGTGATTTGTTACAAGTTTGTCAAGGACTTGAAAATATATTTATCAAAATAATTTCATATATATGAAACACATTACAAATGCCTTTTCAACTATTGAAGCTGCTATATAAAGTGTTAGATACCACTCTTTAAATCTAAAGGAAACTAAAGAATCTGAAAAATGTTCTAAGATATCTGACTCATCACTTGGATTTTAAAATAGTTACATTCAGTATTTCTGTCTCCACCCTTTTATGGTTTAGAAAGATGTGAATCATTTTCTTTAGTATTTCCCAAACCATAGCTACTTTGAAATAACTAGTGTACACTTTAGCTACTGATCTTACTGCACTTGTGGGAATTCCGTGGATGTCTCATGTAATCATTGCTTATAAAGGTAAACATTGGGTAACCATAGCAACTTATTTTTAAATTGAAAACTTTTCTCCCTTCAGCTCTTTAAGTGCAGTAACTTGATACTACTTCTACCGGTTACCACAGTGTAGAAACCAGAACGAATTGCAAATAACCTTTTCTCAGTCTTTTTACAAGAAAAGCAGAAATTTACAGTGAAATTTTACATAGTACTGATTTGTAACATTGGGTCTGATTTGTCTTTGAGACATGCTGAAAGGTTATTAATTATGTAAATAATAATGTGATTATATTTCAAAAAAGTGTTGACTCTGGTCCTTTTAGGATAGAAGTCATATGCCAGAGATACTGCTAATTAACATGAATTGTAGCCAAAAACTGCACTAACAAGAGAAAGATCAAATAGAATATTTAAAAGCCACGCAACTTAAAAAACAAAACAGAAAACCTTCAATTCAATCTGGCCTTCAATTCAGTGTGAATTATGAATGATTTTGTTTAATTTCAAACAACTTAAGGAAAAATTACTAAGAAAATATAACTTTTAGGGACCTCCCTGGTGGCGCAGAGGTCAAAGTCTTAACGATCAAGCTGTCTGCAGCCAGTGCAGCAAGAGTTAGATTCCCAGCCAGGGAGTTAACCCCTCTGGCACAGCAGACCTCTCCTGTCTCACCTGCTGCTCCCTTCAGCAGTGTATTTGTGGATCTACCTGTTCTGCTCCCCATTCTGTCTCTGGTGAATCCTCTCAGACTCCCTTACCCCACCCCCCTCCCACCCCCACATCTCTGGCCTACACTACCCACTTCTTGCATGTATAAATAAATATTTAAAAAAAGAAA